CTTCAACAGTGCTGCACCCTGCTGAGGGACATCCGAGTAAAACCTTGAGATGGCCATTTTCTGTTCACTAACTTGCTTTAGTAAATCCTTACTTTTGTTAAATAAATCAGTTGTTGAACCCCCACTCCTCTGTTTGGTCTCCTTTCTTATTACAGCCCGCCACTTCCAGTCTGGGTTGTAACAATCTGCAGACAGATTTCTGAGTATCTCCTCCTTTGGTACACAGATCCTTACGGAGCCATGTACTGTGAACAAATAGTTTCTCCATGATATTATCCAGCAAGGTCCCGTTTTTGTCAAAACAAGGGTGAGGTAATGAAAAAATAGAAATATTTCATTAAATTAACATTTAAATTATTTATATGCATCATTAAAATAAAAAAAAAACATGTTTTGAAATATATAAAGTGCACCAAACTTGACTCAGTCCATTCAACAATTCTGAATGGACAATTATGTAACTCATCAATTAATTATTTGAAAGTATAATTTGTCAATTAAATACTGAAAAAAATAAACAATTCATTAATGAGGCAAGAACTTTTCTCTCTCTGTCTCTCTCTCTGTCTGTCTCTCTCTCTCTCTCTCTCTCTCTCTCTCTCTCTCTCTCTCTCTCTCTCTGGAAGCCCCACTCTAAGGGAGTTTGCAGTGTATTAGTGAGTCATATATTGTACAACCACAGTCATAAAGTTTTCAATCAGTAGTTTTATTTCAGTATGTATTTTTCCAGTATCACAAAAAATGTAATTTTATATGGTTAAAACCATCTAGTTTATGTGCACTTTTTAAAACACTGCCCAGCAAACATTCGGACGTTTAATGACAGTTGAACGGTCACAACTGTAAAATACCTGAAATTAAGAAAAATTAACATGACATCTACTACATTTTCCTTGCCCGGCCTCGAACCTGGATCCTCCGGGGCGAGAGTCACCCGCTCTTCCAACTGAGCTATGCCAGCAACTACTTGACTAGCAGACTTTTTTATATAGATAGGTAGAGGGTAAAGTGCGGGGTACACTAACCAATCAGAGGACAGAGGAGATCTGCCACAGGCCACGCCTCCAGAGTGCCAAAACCCTTACAGCCGAGCGAGCAGGAGTCAGAAACCGAGCGCGCAGAGAGGCTGCCGAGCGCGCACAGAGGCTGCCGCGCGCGCACGTTTTCCTCTGCCGTGTGCTCGTTGACAACGCGCGCACGCAGGTTTGTCACTTGTGCACATCCTTGTGCGCTCACAGACACAGTTTGCTCCCTCTCAGTGCACAAATGACCTCTCGCCATGTATATTTCCGCTCGCGAGTCCCGTTCACACGCGCGCTGTGGACCCAATGCGCGTGCACGGGTTGTGGCACGCTTTAAACGCCATAATTAACAGGTTTTTCTAATTCAAGCGCTTCCCCGTCTATTTCCTGTTGGCAACTAATGCAAAAATAGGGGTAGCAGGGTTTCCCCTAGAAATCTTTCCAGCCGTGATGCTAATTTACTGGGTGAGGATGTGTGTGTGTGTGTGTGTGTGTGTGTGTGTTTCGTTTTGGTGTGTTTCCCGTAAGAGCGGGGTGGTGCAACGCCACGCCTCACCCTTTGTAGGGGAAACACTGGTTGGAAACTATTTTCAAGTTCAGCCTACATATGAAACTCAGAGTGACCTTGGTTCTTAAATAAACGACTGATAAGTGAAAATCTCTTCTTCAAAACAGTTTTGTTTGAATAAAATAATTCCATCACAACTTTTTAGATGAAATATCACAGAGATGAGGATAGAAAAGGAAACAAAACAAATATGACTGAAGCACACAGTTCAATTTAGTTGGAAAAGGCACAACAAACCCAGGCTGTAAGCCCCAAGAAAAGAAAAAATAGGCTAAACACTCTGCCTCACTAAGATGTTGAGGCTTTATGAACAAGAACCTTCAAACACACTTATCCTCAAAGTAGCCGTTACATTTATAGCATCAATCAATCAATCAATCAATCAATCAATCAATCAATCAATCAATCAATCAATCAATCAATCAATCAATCAATCAACCAATCAATCAATCAATCAATCAATCAATCAATCAATCAATCATTCAATCAATCAATCAATCAGTCAGTCAGTCAATCAATCAATCAAATCAAAGATACTTTATTAATCCCAGAGGGAAATTAGAGCTTAATAATTTAAAATGCAAATGGTTTAATCCTTACAGAAATCAGATTGTGCACACAAGACTTTAATGATGATCAAATCACTTTTTTATGTAGATTAGATGCACAAATTCCAAAAACAGCCATTTTCACCTCATTGTCTCGTTTCCATTTTTTCCACTTCATGTTTTTTTATACAACAGCATTCTGCTAAACCGGAGCAGAAGGTTTCTTGTTTGAATGATACACTCACATTAAAATTAAACTACGTCCTCTTTCACTGGTAAAGTTTTATGTATCAGGACTTAATAAAGAAATTTCTATTTATTAAAATCATCTATCGGGTCACTTAATATCACAAATGTCATTAATTACCAAAAATAAAGTCAAAATGTGGAGGGAAAAGTCCTCCACTCATACCTTCATGAATTTTAAGATGGTAATAATGATAAAATTGGCATTTGTGTTATAAACAGATTTTGAAAACAACTAAACAAGTATGGTTGATAGCCAGTGAATCAAGATATCAAAATTTAAGTGTGTAAATTTCAGGGAATGTGATACCATATCACTTCACTGTCAAGCATGGTGGTGGAGGGCCGATGATTTGGGCATCTTGCATTTACTGAGTTAACCACAAGCTCATTTGTTTTAAAGTATTTAGAAAACATCTTGCAACTTCAACAAAAAGCTGCACATTTACAAAAGAAAGCCTGAAAAATTGAGTGTTTCAGAGACCCAATCAAAGTTAAAGGTGTTGAACACTCGTTTAATTCCATACATCTGCAGCGGTCTTTAGTAGGGGTGAATGCCTTCAAAGAAAGAAAAGAAAGAAAATGATGTTTTATGTAGCGCCTCTAAAGATAAAAATCACGAGGTGCTTCACAAGAACAAAAATTAAAAATAGAAAAATTATTGAAAAATATGGTTAAAATGAGAAAAAATGTGATTAAAAATGTAAGGAAAGAGAAAATGAATAGGAAAGAGGGAAATCAGTGGAACAGATATGGACAAAATTGTTGGAACCCTTCAGCCAATGAAAGAAAAACCAACAATGACAAAAGTAATAAAACATTCTACGAATTTTAACCAATGAAAGTCAGACATTGTTTTTTAACCTTCAACAGAACTATTTAAAAAAATTATCTCAGGGAACAGGCCTGGACAAAAGTGATGGCACCCCTAACTTAATATTTTGTTGCATGATTGTTTGCAATCAAACAATCCCCGTAACTCTCATCGAGACTTCTGCACCTCTCAGCGGGTATTTTGGCCCACCCCTCATGAGCAAACTGCCCCCGTGGTCTCAGGTTTGAAGGGCGCCTTTTCCAGATGGCATGTTTCAGCTCCTCCCAGAGATGCTCAGTAGGATTGAGGTCAGGACTCATAGAAGGCCACTTTAGAATAGTCCAATGCTCTTAGCCATTCTGGAGTGAGTTTAGCTTTAGTTTTGGGTCATTGTCCTGTAAGACCCACGGCCTGCGACTGAACAAGCTTCCTGACACTGGCCAGCTCGTTTCTCTCCAGAATCCCTTGATAGTCTTGAGATATCCGTGTACAATCATCTTTCCTGATCTATCCTTGTTCACAACTCCGGAGTGGAAGTCCGCTGTAATGTGTTTTTTGCTGGGACAGTCATTCTGTAACACAACTACGTTAAGATCTTATAAGACAGAAACTGACAGGGTTGCTAAAGGACATACTTTATTGCTACACACAATGGTGCTATGCTAAATCTGGACAGCGGATGCCAGATTTTATTGGGTTCAAATGAGTCCCAACACTGAACCGTTCGCTTCATGGTTTGGAAAGCTTTGGTTTCTCCATCACTACATAACAGAGACTCTGCCATACTTCACAGTAGGGACAGTCTTCTTTTCTTGATAAGGTCCCATTTTCCATCTGTGAACATAGACCTGATGTACCTTGGCAAAAAGTCCCACAGGACATTATCCCAGAAGCTCTGTGGCTTATATAGGCCCACTGACTGATTACAAGATTGTAGACACCTGTGATGCTAATTAGTGGACACACCTTGAATGAAATCATGTCTTTGGTCACATTATTTCCAGTCTTTTCTAGGTGTATCGTCATTGTTGCCCAAGCTTATTCCATGAATTTATTTTTTAAATAATTCTGTTGAAAGCTGAGAAGCAATATCAGACCTTTACTGGTTAGATTTAATAGAATTTGTACTTAATTGTTAACTTAACTATAATTTAAATCTCTTAAATTAAATATTAATCTTTGGATTAAATATAGACCAAGCCAGTTGGCGTATGAACTTCTATCGATTATATACATATCCGTGGATATCTATGTAAATATAAGTTCATATGCTAATTTGTTTGATCTTTCTCAGGATTTAGCAAAGCTGATAACAAACAGCGTTAAATCCTAGTTATGTAGAATATCTACGCTACTTTTATTATTATTTATGTCAGATTCAAGTTATTTCAGTGACCATTGTGGTTTTTTCTTTCTTTGACTGAAGGGTACTGGGAATTTAGTCCATGTCTAAGGCCTAGTCCACACGTAGCTGTTTTTTTTAAAAACGAATATCCGCCCCTCCAAAAACTTGCATCCACACCACCTCGTTAAAAAAAAAACTCTGTCCACACGTACCCGGATAAATACGTTGTTAAGGACATGCCAGACCTGTAGGCGGCAGTACTTCCCCCGTTCTTAACCTCGTCCTTCGTCTGTGGTCTTCCGCAAGGAGCAGTAATACCGCTTGCAAAAACAAACAAGCAAAATGCGCTTGGACAATTGATAAAGCGAGCGCAGCTCTGAGGGCAACCATGCTGTCGGCTACAGTAAACACAGGTCGCACACGTGATGTCAGCATTTTTTTTGTCGCGGAAAGTGACGTTGCGGACCTTAAAACTCCGGTTTTGTCTGTCCACACGCAGATACCCAAAATGGAGAAAACGCAGATCTTCACTTTGGCCGGAGTTTTTAAAAAGATCCGTTTTCGTGTGGATGACAGGCCAAAACCATAGACTGTAAATACGGGCCAAAACGTAGAAAAATATCTACGTTTTAGTAGATCCCCGGCTACGTGTGGACAGGGCCTAAGTCACAGTGAGTCAGAGTGACCAATCGTGTTTTAATCCATTTAAAGACTCACCAATGACCTTGGTGTTATAAGGCGCTATACAAATAAATGAGTTGAGTTTTTATTACGTCCTGATACATAACACGTATCGAACTGATACTTCAAATTGATCAGGACAAAGACAGGAAGACATTTTAAGATTTTTCAAACATTATTGGACATTTTATTCCTTCGGTCTTGGTGAAACAAATCATCCTACTCTTCGTCCATCTTCCTAAGTCCCAACAAAATTATCTAAAGGTTTATGATGGTGAAACATGGATAGTACATGCCAAGAACACTAAATGAACACTGATCAACAATGAGTTGAAGGGAAAAAGGGGAAGATTCGGAGTTTGTTTATTTCGAAAAGCATCAATAAAATCAGCCCGAAAAGTTAATCTGAGCAATGTGAAAACTTTTGCACTTTTTTCCCGGTATAAAAGTCTGTTTCAGTACAAAGAGCATCTACAGGGAAAGAGAAGTCAGTCAGACTCAAATGTATGTTTGCTAAAAAGCAAATACTTTCTTTAAATAAGAAAAACCTGTGAAAGAGTTCATAAACACATTCTATGGAGAATCTGAACATAAGTTCTGAATACACCTGAGCCAGACTTACTGTTGCTATGCAGCATATGATGCATTTCATCCTTTTAAAATCACCACCTTAAGCTCATGAGATGAGACCATTTAAAGCTGTTTTGTAAACACCTTTTAAAGGATTTTTCTCTCAATTTTGAAGCACGTTTCAGCATAAAATGTGTAAATAGTTATTATTTTAACTGCTGTTGACGGCTATCTGAAGAGCCTCAGTTTAGAGAAACAGAGTTGACCTCATTTACAACTGATGAACAAAGCAAGTCCAAATGTACCCGTTTTAAAACGGTTTCGGTCTCTAATATTTGACCGTTTTTTAAGATTAGCGTTTTTTTCTTTTTTTTTTTAACTTAAAGTATCTTTCCGGAGTTTCCCCCTTTCAGAAATTATGTATGATTTTTCAGAAATCCGTAAAAATGATTATCTTATCATGTACTGTGATATAATGTAAGCAATAAGTCTTTGTTTTCATTTGCTAACCACGCCCCCTGCCCTGCAGAGCTCCGTGCAATAGAGCTCCCTGCAATAGAGCTCCGGGAGTTGACGTCACTTCTCCCGGCATGCAACAGTTCAAATCGAAACGGCGCCATCTTGGCAGGCAGAAACCCGCAGGTGGGCTATTTGTTATTGTCAGAAAACTCAAACAGGAAATATGGTAGATTCCTGTTGTGCCCCAGGATGCCAGAACAGACGCAGACAACACAAGGGATGAGCCATCTACAGGATTCCCCAAGATCTGGAGCGCCGCAAACGTTGGATCATTGTAATAAAACGCGCTAGTGACCGGGCTAAAATGAAACTGTGGGATCCCGAGAGTAAAGGTTTTCACTTATGCAACGACCACTTCATATCAGGTACTTAAACCAACGTTTCCTCAACTGTATATGGTATTTATTGGATAAATTATGGATACATTAGTATTTTAAACGAAAGCTCATCCAGCTCTTTTTCCCCTGGCAACAGACAGGCGTTTGACCTTGCTTCTTCCCAGTCCTAGCTAATCAGTAAGAACGCCCTGTGCCAGCGCCTGGGTGTCTCCCTTTCGAAGTCTAAAGGAATGTGCAAATGTGTGTGCGTTTTATCATCTCTGTGTGTCTTTAATAAATACTCGAGAGGGCTTTTGACTGATGAGAGCAAAGAGACCACCGACTCGTGTGTATCATTTTATCTCTTTCTCCACTTTGCAAAGTCTAAATGGTTTATTGTTAATAAGATTAGTATGGGTTAAATTGATCAGCTTGTTAATACAACCCCGGCGTGGTGAGCTTTTCCTTCAGGTAACCCTGGATGGGAAAATGAAAATACCTAACAGTATTTTATTTTAAATGCTTTTATTACGATTCTTAGTGGGCTTCCTAAACTTATTTTGGCGTGGCTTTTTCTGTCTCATTACTCATAGCAACAAGTAAACATCACGTAAAACGTTTCCTCGTGATTTCTGCGTGCTGCCGTTTACGTGTTTTATGATCACAGCAATTAACCGGCTAAGCTGTATTTCGTTTTTAAGCAATGGTCGATCAATTGTCAGATCACACATAAAAAGCACTTTGGATTGCTATTATCTGTCTCACCGAGACAGACCTCAGACAGTTCCTGAGACGCTCCTGCCTGACATATTTATTTTATTCACGGAAAAAATCAAACTAGTGATTTCTCTTGGAGTTCAGTTTATACATTCAAACAGCACAGCACTCTATTTAAACTACTTACATGTAAATCTGTTATTTGTCCATCCATCCATCCATCCATCCATCCATCCTCATCCGTTTATCCAGAGTCGGGTCGCGGGGGCAGTAGCCTATGTCGAGAGGCCCAGACTTCCCTCTCCCCAGCCACTTGGGCCAACTCCTGCGGGGAAATCCCAAGGTGTTCCCTGGCCAGGTCCGCTCTGACAGCTTCTGGCGTTTTTATAAAGTATCCCAGGGGCACGATAAGGGTCGGAGATGTTTAGTCTATTTAATTTCTGACTATATAAAACGATTTCTTCGGTTTTAAAGTGTGAAGTAAACTCAGACGAAGTAAAATCCAAGCTGATCCCGTTCATTTTGTTTACCTTTGTTGCCTGCCAACATGGCGTCTACTCTCTGAGAGTCACGTGACGTCCGGAGCTCTATAGGAAACTGAGCGCTGACCAGAACTAACCAATAGAGTTAGACTACCACTTACCTGCTTCAAATTTAAGGAATACCTCGGCTGATGCAGAGTTGATGAATTTTTCACGGACAAGTTTCTAAAATATAAATATATGAGAACACAACATGACATGAGAATAATACTCGTAAAACAACGTGTTTTAGTTCTGTTTGTCGGCTACAGAAGCACATTTATAAACAGAAACGTGAAGCTGCCATCTTAACAAAACAGATCCAGAGATTATTTGTGTGATATGCTTGTCAGCCACTAGATGGTGCCATCGGATAGGAGAAATACTCCGGAAAAAGACTTTAATATCATATTCTGAAAAAGAAATTCAAGAACTGAATGTAACTTTTAAGTGCTGTTGTAAATAAGAATCCAAAATAGTCTGCAAACACAGCTTAGTGAAAACTCACGCTCTGTCGGCCTTTTCTCCTGGAGTGGATTTGCGTTTACAAGCTGGAATTAATAAACTGTCATCAACTAGAGACTTGATTCAGACAGTAGCCGTAACCCTTACCCACGCTCCACTGAAGCCTGAGCAGACCCAAACAGTCTTGTGTCTTGCCAATCACAGTTGGTCTGCTGGTCAGGATGATGCCACTGAGCGAAACAGCTAAGACGGCGTCGGCTTGATTGAAACGGCTTTGGCATCAACTTTGGACTATTAAGACTTGGGCTTTTCTTTGAGTCAAGGGCAGATAAAGATACTTAAGTCCTTTATTTAGATAAAGGACGTTTTTGTGTCTTCTTCGACGGTGTATGGTGGACCACCCCGTTGACTGACATTCATAGCCGTGACGTTGTTCGTTATCCAATAGCACGTGGAGACAGTTTGAAAGACAACCATAGATTCCACCCCATGATGGATCATATGGGTCATGGCCAGATTATATATTCACATATACAGGATGGCTTGCCAGGCTTATTTTTTAGTAGAAAACTATAAGAAACTACAGCCAAAGATATTTTTGACAGAATAGGAACAACTACTAAAAGTACGGGAGTCTTTATTTATCTCTGTAGTTATGCTGCTATAGGCTTAGACTGCTGGAGGATACACTGACCACTTTCCACACTCTACTACTTTCTTCTACAATCTGCTCTTTAACTGTATTATTTTCTGCAATTTCAGCTGTTAACTTTATTTTCTCTCTAAGTGTTTTTCTCCCCAGAAGAAGCTACAATGATGTTCTGCTGAGCTGTGGTGGCCTCATGGAGGGGGCCATCGTCTAGCACACTGCTGCTAACCCCTTAAACATTGTCCCTCTCCTGATGATAACTTTTTGCTTTCCTTGACGTTGGATGTGCTACTACTAGTTTATCCGTTTAATTATAGATCCACTAGGATAAATACAATAAAGTTTATCTCTCACCAAATAGAATATTTACTAAGAAATCACAATATAACTATAGACTCATTACTTTGTCTTTGTCTGTGTGTGTGTGTGTGTGTGTGCTCTGTTTTCTCGATCCCCAGTGAGTTGTGGAGGATGACTGCTTATACTGAGCCAGGATCCTCTGGAGGTTTCTTCCTGTTAAAAGGGAGTTTTCCTCTCCACTGTCGCTATATGCTTGCTTAGAATGAGGATTGTGAGATAGTCAGTGACTTTACAACAATCCTCATTCTAAGCAAGCATATAGCGACAGTGGAGAGGAAAACTCCCTTGCAATTTGCTGGGTTCCTTATATAGGAAACTTTTTTTCGGATTGGCTTAATGAACTGACCTGGATTGGAATGTTTACTATGTGAAGTGCCTTGAGATGACTCTTGTCATGATTTGGCGCTATATAAATAAAATTGAATTGAATTGAATTTATTGATAAATACTAACAGATTTTTCTCTGAAGTGAGGCCTTTCAGGAAACTAACAGGCAGCGTGGTAACTTTTTGTAATTTTTACAGAAAAACACATTTCCAAATGGGAACTAATCCCGTTAATTTTTATTAAAGAAACATGCAGAAGCCAAACGTCCCTGCCCGTTTGTTGTGCCAAGAGCATTAAATTCAACTTGGTTAATACTAGTTTAATTCCAGATTTTACCGAAAATGAATTATTAGATTCAAATAGCAGCAAACTCAATAGTTTGCTCTTCAAATCATAACATGTTGCTATAGCATAAAAAAACCATGCCTAAAAATGAACTAATGAGTGTCATGAGAAAAAGGAGACAATTATTAATTTGTGTTCTTTAACAATAAAACAGAACATGTAAGAAACAAAGAACTCATTTTTTCAGCTAGTCTTCTGTGTCCATCTTTACACATTAGAACTCTGTCATCAAAGTGTTCCTTCATCATCATCAGCATCAGCATCATGCTGGCGTAAATCTCCTTTCCGCCTTTTCACAAAGTCAATGATGCTAGTTCAAACTGATCCAGGATTGCACTATCCTCAAGAAGTCTACATGATGGAGACAGTGCAACACAATGCAGAACATAAGCACACACACACACACACACACACACACACACACACACACACACACACACACACACACACACACACACACACACACACACACACACACACACACACACACACACACACACACACACACACACACACACACACACACACACACACACACACACACACACACACACACACACACGCTTTGATCAGGACGGCAATTTTTTTTCCAATTGAAACACAAAACGATGAGTAGCATTTGTTGTGAAGGCTCTGTTAAATCCACACATGGAGCTGCAAGTGAGACTCTTTGTAATTAAGTCAAATGCTTCATACTTCTGCGCGCAGCATCTTAGCATCCACATGAAAGCATTCTTGAGGAGCGCTTGCACAACAAATGTCCCACACGTGCAACACTTCTATACTTACGTTTTATGCAAGCGTAAAACAAAACTGACACATATCATGCAAATCTACTGGAGTTTTCGGTGTAAGGGTGAGAGGAGGAAATATAGTGCGCTTTGTTGAGTGCAAATTAAACTGTGCAATTTTGTTCAAATAAATAAACTAAATTCTCGCTGTGCTTTCATGTTAAAATTTTAATGATGATAGGAACATAAATAGTTTCGTCTCCGTTAACTAACCTCTAAACCCCTCCAGTTCATGTCAGATTTATCTGGAAAAAAGCTCACAGATATTTTGGGCTTTGACTTAAACTAATTATCTTTTTTCTGATTAAAACTGAATTATTTCTAAATCTTTAAGTTCTTATTAATTGAGGGAACTCTAAAACTATTTGAAAATTTTAGTGTTCTTAGCAATGAAACCCAAATTACTCATCAAATGTTTATAGTCAATATAATTTTGTTTGGCTTCCAACCTTTTGTGGCCAAAGAGGGAATCCTACCTCTAGATCCCGGGGCATGAAGCCGAATTTACACGGGGGAATTTTTAGAATGTCTGCCGATTTTCAAAGCATGTGATAAATAAAAAAATAATAAAAAAAATCACGAATATACCAGTTTTGGTCTTACATGAACATTTCATAGTCAGACGGGAAATCTCGCGAGACAAAAACATGACTTTGAAGCAAATAAACATGGTGGAGGAGGAGGAACATGAAGCCCACTTCCGTTACCTCGCTTCCTGATTGGCTGGACTTCACTTTCAACAGGCAGAACATTTGTTTGTCCCCGAAAATCAGACCAAGACAATCCAACATGTTTCAAAGCCCGGATCAATGATCAACGCAGTCTTGACGTTCTTCCAAGCAGAGTGCTTGCAACACCACACACTGTAGGATTATCTGATAAGATTATCTTTAGAGCCATCAGTGTAACTACATAATTATCCTGTCTTGTGAACTGGGCTTAATATGATTGAGTTTTGTGGAACTTCAAAGCAAATTTCGACCCAATCTGTAGAAGAAATGGACAATTTTCCGACCGGATTATTTCTCAAACACCGTGCTGGTGTATGTACAAGACTCCAATAGTGTGTGTTTGTGCTTAGCACAAATGTCATCTGTGCATTATCAAAGGTACATAATTTTTTTGTGCAAACTAAGATCAGTTCATGACAGGGTAATCACGAGATTACCATAACAACTCTTAAGATAATTTTTTCAGATAATCCTCTGTGATGTGTTAGAAGTAGGGATGCATCGATACCGATACTGGTATCGGTATCGATGCAGACACCAATACCAATACCAGTATCTGTAAAAGTTAACTGATACCAGGAACCGATACCAATGCAGTTGCTTGAAAATGGCTTCACTGTAACTTGTCATTTCTGTTCACTTAATATTTTAGTTTTGTGATGATTTCCATTCATATATTTTACTTTTTAGCTACCTCGCAGTCTTTTCCTGTTGAAAGCAGAGAAGAAAATAAAATCTGTATTCCAAATCATCGCATTTTTTTGTGTGGTGTCAGTATCGGTAATCGGTAATCGGCATCGGCGAGTACTCAGATCCAAGTATCGGTATCGTATCGGTTTGGAAAAAGTATCGGTGCATCCCTAGTTAGAAGCATTCTGTTGGACTCATTCCAGTTATAAATCCAGGCATTCAAACTTATTGGATTGTGTTGGCCTGATTTCCGGGGACCATGGTCATTCTGCCAGTTTAATATAAGTAGCCAATCAGAAAGTCAGGTGACGGAAGCGAGATGCACAATCCTCCTCCATTATGTTTATTTTGAAGTTGTGTTTTATCTCGCAAGGTTTTCCATCAAATTAACTCCTTAACTAAATATTAATTTATTCACAAATCAAAATGAACTAAAAGCAAAATATTTTGTGAACCAACAATGTCTATTGTTACTATATGCAAAATGCATTAATAGATGGTTTATCTAATTTACTTTTCTCCTTTTCATTTACTGAAAATTTGAGGTGACTGTGTATCAAATAAGCTGCAGTTCTATGGGGAGAAATGGGAATAGGTAAAACATGTTAACCAATATTAATTACAGCTAAAACAATTTAAAATTCCTTGCTAATCTGTAACATGGTGTAAAGTGTATGCCATCTAAAGAAGAGGACACAGTGAACTTGAGCACCACAAAGACTTCAACCAAACTCACTGAGAAGGAAAGATGGCTGCAAGCCAGGAGACCATCTTGGTGAAAATGAACATTGACAAAGCAAAGAAATAAAAGTACAAATAAATGAAACATAAGCCGTGCAAAAGTCAAAGAAACTTAATTACATGAAAGCAAATACTCACGGAGCAAACAACGACTATACGACAACATTTAAAGATGTTGATGTTAGATAAGCAGGCTTACCTTGAGATTGTCTCCTAGACCCTAGTTGTGTTGTACTCTGATTCATGTTTGCTCAAAGAGCCAATGAGGCAGAACCTGAAATGTTACGGCTCTTTCATTTAGTATCAAACTTTCCTTTGCATAGAGGTCAGATTGCATGACGTGTCACATAAAATACAAGAAACTTCATCAAATGTTCCACGGCTTTTAAGAGCCTTGCATGCAGATTTGCGGTACATCGATACTTTGAAGAGCTCATACAAAATGCATGCAAAAAATTCGTATGTCATGTAAAAACTGCTCTGACACATTCCTAATGTATTTTTGTAAACATATAAGGTTGCTTTCAAGTTGTCAAGGTGCAAATCCACTATAAAATACTTGTTTTTGTCATTAACTCATTCACTGCCAATGACGACTAAAGTCGTCATTTGCATTTTTTTTACTGTTTGAGCATTGGAACGAGCCCCCGCGCTGAGAGAACAAACATCTCAGCCCTGAAGCCGATCTTCATCCGCATACGTCACAGATCACATGATCAGGAAGCAGACCATCCATGTGTTTGGAGATCGTTTTGGGCCGTTCCTGTAAAAAAAGTGAGGCGCGAACCGGAAAAGCGTTTGCCGATCACAATTCGACAACAAATTATGAAAGAACGGATAACGCTCGAAACACACGGCTTCTTCCTGATGTAAGAGGTGAGTCTCCTCTTTGTTTAGGTTGTTTTGGCATCGACATCATGCTAGCGCGCAACGTTCTGTGACTCTTAAAAAAAACAGTAAAAACGGTGAGAAACGCTGGCAGCGAAGGCCGTTAGCGATCAGGAAACGGCTTCCAGTGAATGAGTTAAAAATCTGGTTTATGCTGTAATTACCTTATGAATTATATATATGAATAAATATGTTAATTATAAATGCATATTTTATAATTTGCAATCTTGTCACTAATAATCTTTTAAATCAGACACCAATTCAAGCCCTTGTGTGAGTAATGTAAAATGTTGTTACAGACAAAAAACAAGAGGTTTGCAACTCTGTAAAGATTGCTGACAAACTTCAAATCTCAGGAGAATTTAAATAAAGTCAATATAAAAATAAATGTTCACTTAAAGGAACTTATCTGGGCTGTCTTAACAAAAATGATCATGCAAGAAGGAATTAACAGAATTATCTATGTTATTTTTGCCTAAGATTTGCAATGATGGAACACGTGGAAACAACAAAGGTTAACTCAAAAATGAAGGTTATACTTATAGGTAAATATATAATGAGAGGAAGAAAAAAAATCATGAATAAAGAAGACAACAAAATAAAAAAAATAATGTTTTCATGGTTAGATATAGAACTGCTGCTGCTCCCACATCAGAAATCTATGGATACTGACCGCTGTACCGCCTTTTCGTGCCGTGACAGTCGGTGGCTGGTGGTAGGAACGTCTTCCAGGTCATCGTCTAGGTCGCATCCATTGTCCGCTGCCTCTTGTGAGTAGCTGTGCTTCATGACTAAGATGCTCCTGCGGTTCCCTGCATTCGGCAGCAGGGGGCGCACGGACATGGGCGGCTGTGGGAGGTCCGCAAGCAGAGTGGCGGCCCCTGTGTCACGAGCGCTCAGGTTACTACGGCTGCCACGTCCGCTGAGAGACAGCTGGGATATGTGTGCAGAGCCAGGGTTAGTGGTGGAGCCACAGTGGTGATCGTGGATGCAGCGGGAGGAGGCCCGGCGAAGGGCATGGTAGTTCCCAAAGTCTTCTGCCAAGTCGACTAAATCCGCAGAGGCCGCCGTGGGCGTGGCGGCACTCCGCAACGTACACAGCTCATAGTGAGGGGGCTCAAAGACCTCCTGAAACATGGTGGGGTCGAAGTCCTCACGTCGTAGGATGTACTTCTTACGCGGTTGCTTTATCTGAACAATCACTGAGACGATGAGGAGGATGAAGACGATGCAGCAAGTTACTCCAATGATAGCCCCATTTGTGGAGTTGAGGTTGTCCAGGAATTTGGTGTTGGTTTTCTCTGTGCAGAAAGACATGGGGCAAATGTTTATTAATCCCATTTTCCTTTTACACACACACATACGGTAGTTTTTCCGGTCATTAATTCGTCGAAATTTCTGAAATTACAGAAAAAGAATATCTATCTGTTTTCAAGTAAACAGCAGACACGGGCGTTCCCGGCCCTCCCATATTCAGTTAACGGATGATCATAAGAGCTCTTCCCCTGCTCGTCTGATGCTCCTGCACTGGGACGCGTACACATAGAATGCTATTGTGTCTATTCGAACACCAGAGCGCACCCGCAACCCTCCTGTCTGACCTTTTTTGTCCTAAAGTTGAAGCGGTAGCAGTCGTTTCTCCTCTAGCTCCCAAACACCTGAATCCCCTTGCAAAGGCTTACGTCACGGCCCAGCCGCTCCGGTCATCGAAGGATCACCGGCTAGCAGCGCCTACACCACGTTCAGGACAATCCAGACTCTTTTTATTTGCCATTCCACAGATGTGGAATGACCTACAAGCACTACTAGAATAGGGGCTTCATGGTCGATTTTCATGAAACTCCTGAAGACCCAGCTCTTCAGAGATCATTTTCTGAACTAGCACCCTCCCTGCACCCGTCCCCCTCTCTGCTGCACTCTCCATGTTCTCTGTGATTGATTATGCTGCCTCACTGCCACCTACGATTGACTGAATAATGTTTGTTAGCCTCAAGGACAACCTGTATGTTGCTCTGGACGAAAGCGTCCGCTAAATACATAAACATTACTGAGCAGGGAACCTCTCACACCAATAGCTCAGTTGTTAAATACGCGAGTGCGTAATAAATGGAGGACCCGGGGAAGTGTGGCGGTTCAGCGAGACTGACAAGTGGATGGTCCAACAGTTGGCGTTATTGGCGGTATATTTATAGCTATATCATGTTAGAACATTGTTAAGAGGCATGAAAGAAAAATTTAAGCTTATTTATTTTCCAAATATGTTATAATAACTTAAAATGAGTGAGAGACATTTCTAATGACGTATTGTGTTCCTTTTATGTTCTGCGTCCTTCTTTGCCATCATCATGAGCTCTGTTGGCTCCAAGAACAATGGCAACGCTTTCTTCTGTGGTCAGGTTTCCTGGGTTTCTAGATGTAAAACATGTGGATGACTCAGATAAAACTACTAGTGGTGTTGTCTCTTAGCTGGAAAAAGCACTGGCTGCTAACTAGATGAAACTTTGTTCATTAGGTAAAACAAATCCTCGGATGTGTGAGTTATATTCAGTTTAGCAAATGGTCAGAGATTCCTTTCCAGTAAAGAATGACCGACGCTTCTGAGTGAGAACAGCTCATAACAAATGGAGCAGCGTCAGGTAAAGCCACAGGCTTTCACGTGCACTCCCAACAGTTGGACACAAAGGTCAGATCACAGCTACGGCCTGGCTATCACAAGAGGAATCAACAAAGAGACAAATGGAGTGCACAGAATACTAATCTAGGCCGATCTGTGACATTTAAATGCTGGATGAACTCAGCTCAGTGCACTGGGCTCCGGCGACAGTTAATGGTTACGTTTACATGTGTAAAGAGGAAGAGAATAAAACCTGACATTTTGCTGCTAATGAGAACAAATGTGGGCCTTGTGCATCACCAGAGCAGAAAATGCAAGAAGACAGAGTAACAGATGAGGAGATTTCTTACAAAGTTCAGCTACCCTATAGAATGGGTTGGTCACAAAACATGACAGGAGAAGATGGGTTTGTGGGTAATATTTGTGATTGATGATTCATGACTTATGTATTACAATGTGCAGAATAAAAGAGCACGTCGAGTCAAACAGTCCAGGTGAGCTGGTAGGTGCATACACACTACTCTAACCCATGCACCATTTTAAACACCTTTTTGTAGGTTGGGAATATGCCTGCTTTTTAACCTCACATGGCAGCAGGCGTGCGTCTTGTTCACATACTTTGTGCTGTACTGCCTGTAGTACTGGAAGATTTCACTGGGTAAGTAAATTTAGTAAGTACATTTTATTTATAAAGCACTCATCACAGACATAGAATCACAAAGTACTTCACATGGATCAAAACAAAATAAAACAAAGTCATAAAATCATAAAGATCTCAAAACAGAAATAGATTGACATCAGAAAAAATAAAGTCATAAAATTATAAAATTTCATAAACAAATGAAAGATGATTACAAATTTCAGTTAAAAATAAGAAAATAAAAGGTTTAGGTAAAAGCAGCTTTAAATAAAAGGGTCTTTAGCTGTTTTTAAGTGTCCAGACTTTCAACGCTGCATAAGGATAAAGGAAGATCATTCCAGAGACGGGGTGCAACAGTCTGGAAGGAGCGATCACCTCGACTTTTAGAACTGGTCTTTGGAACTTCTAGAAGGTTCTGGTGGGTGGACCTGAGGGCTCGGGTTGGAGCATAAGGCTTTAACAGTTCAGTAATATAGGGAGGAGCTTGACCATGTAGAGCTTTGAAAGTTCTAGTCAGGATTCTAAAATGAACTCTAAAGTTAACGGGTAACCAGTGCAGAGACATCAGAATAGGAGTGATGTGTGCTCTTCTGTTTGCTCCAGTTAGGAGCCTCGCTGCAGAGTTCTGGACCAACTGAAGGCGGTCAAGGGTTTCTTTGTTAAAACTTGTGAAAAGTGTGTTACAGCAATCTAGACGGGAGGAGATAAAGGCATGGAGAACCCTTTCAAGTTCATGTTTTGACACCAACCTTTGCAGTTTGGAGATATTTCTTAAATGATAAAAAAAGTTTCGGACCGACGTTTTTCAGTGACCTTCAAGAGACATTGATTGGTCAAAAACAACACCCAAATTCCTTAAGGTTTTCTTGACGGCAGAGGATAAATGACCCAATTTTAGACTAATCAGGGGAGCCATGCTCTCAGGGGCAATGATCAGACATTCACTCTTTTCAGAGTTTGAAGGACATTATCTTCTAGCCAGCTGGTGATAGCTGATAGACACTCTAGTAATTCAAACAGTTTGTAGAACTCAGAATCCTTAAAGGAGCAGTACAACTGAATATCATCTGCATATAGGTGATAAGAGACATTATGAAAAGATTCAGGTATCTGTCCAAGAGGGTGTAAGTACAGCGGAAACAGGAGTGGACCCAAAACAGAGCCTTGAGGTACGCCACAGATCAGATCTAAAACTGACATGATTTGGTTTATACAGACACTGCAACTTCTGTTAGAAAGGTACAATCTAAACCAGTCTAGAACAGTTCCAGAGATCCCCACTGAGTCACCAAGTCTGTTAATTAAGGTGCTGTGATCAACAGTGTCAAAAGCTGCAGAGAGATCTAACAATACTAACACTGTGAACTCCCCGTTTTCTGCAGCCATCATGATCATCGGAAACTTTAAGCAAAGCTGTTTCTGTTGAATGCTTTTTATGAAAACCAGACTGGAATTCATCAAAACTGTTGTGTAGTTCCAGAAAAGTAATCAGTTGATCTGCCACATCCTTTTCCAACATTTTAGAGATAAAGGGTCATTTAGAAATGGGTCTGTAATTTTTAGGCTGAGATGAGTCCAAACTTGTTTTTTTAAGGATAGGTTCAACAACTGCATGTTTGAAAACAGAGGGTACAGAGCCAGATTGTAGGGATAAATTAATAAAATCTACAGAAAACAGTACAGAACTCAGGATGGATAGAGTACCAGATATGTAGGCTACAAACAAAACATGGCAACAGTAGAAGAGATCAGCAGCTGGGTCCTTTTGAGATTACCAAAAGAAGAAGAAAAAAAAAACAGCTGCAATATCATAGATGGTATGAAGACCTCTAAACCAGAGATGGCATGACTTTCTGCCAACTCCTCCTATTGGTTACTCATATATTACTGGATAGCTTTTGGGCTCCCACCCTTTAGGGTGGAGCCGGGCTCCCTGTAGCTCTCCCATAATTTGAACCCTGTCTAGTTGGGAAATTCTAAGTTTCAGTATTTCGATACCACAAACACTAAAGCTGAGTAACTCACCTTTACACTGGTTTTCATCCCAGGGGTAGACACAGTTCTGCATGCCGTTACACACCAGCGTGTAGTTTATGCACATGTTACTGTGACAAAAGAAGGCATCGGCATCACATGGGGCTAAAAGGAGAGAGAGCAGAGTTAAAATAGAACAGAAATATTTTTCTTAATGAAATTTTTTTAAAAGAAAACTTCATTTTGTGACTTGACCAGATTTAACGAATTTGCTTCTGCATAAACCGATGTTTGAGGTGCAGCTGAGGAGAGGCTACAGTGTGTCAGGATTTGAGAAAATAAATTTGGACTGGCGTTACTCAGATCAGACGGGTTCTCTGCAAACCCATCTGTTCTTCATGAATTTTTCATCTTCAACCACATCTTCAAACATTTGCAGAGGAAACCTGAGGATCTGAAGGATCATGGGGAGGTTGTGGGTTGTGCCTGGATGTGCAAAAGGTATACATTGGCGCAAAAAGAATGTAACAAACTTGATTGCCTGAAATAGAAACATCTCTAAACTGAACAACCGAAGCAGCTCAGTGGCCTAGTGGTAGAGTGTCCGCCCTGAGACTGGGAGATCAGGGTTCAATTCCTGGTCGGGTCATACCAAAGACCTAGAAAAAATGGGACCCAATGCCTCCCTGCTTGACACTCAGCATTAAGGGGTTGGATTGGGGGGTTAAACCACCAAATGGTTCCCGAGTGCGGCTGTGTCTGCAGCTCACCGCTCCCCCAGGGGATGGGTCAAATGCGGAGAACAAAATTTTGCACACACACCTGTGTGTGTGACAACTAATGGGAAGAGGAAGAGGAAGAAGAAGAAGAACATGACCCACTATGTGACATAAACCATTCTAAAGACACAACTTAGAGATCATTCACCCCGTTATGAGGTGCAGCAGCATCATCCCCGGGAAGGACAAGGCTACAAAATCAATGTGGTTCCATTGGAAGTACAAGCGGACGTACAGAAATTAAAGCCAAGGTGCCTTTCAGCTAGACAACCAATCAGCCTAATGTGTAATCCTGCAGAATGGCCAGTTTATTTCTTTTAACTGTCAATTCTAGAAAGGACCAGAGCATGAAATGTTATTTTTGCAAATAGAGAAGAAGATTTGAATCTTTATTAATCATTTTGCCCATTAAAAAAAGTATTCTCCCCCAGATGTTGACTCCTATTGCTTCACATAATTACCACCTTGCTGTCTTATGTGCAAATATTCATTTTTCTAATATGTTAAACGGTAATTGGTTCTTTGATGCTTAGCAGTTACCATGATGCAAGACCCTTATCAGGCTCTACTCCAAAAGCGCAACACGGCAGAACATTAAAGGAAGTTTTTTTATTTACTTTGCAACAAAGAAAAAACAGTGATGCTTGGTCCATCGTCATTTACATCACAGTCACTAAGAAATCTGACTAATCCCAAGAGTTAAAAAACACAAAACTACAATAAAAAGCAAGAATTAAAACAAAATAAAGAAAAAAAACCAACAACAATAAAGATCGTATCGACCAGTGATGGAATGTAATCAAGTACAAGTACTTTGTTACTATAAGGATGTAAGAATGTGGTGAAATATCACAATATCTCATGTTATTACTAACTACTACTAACATTATTCAGTTATACTGAATTGATCTTTAAAAGCAGTGTGTTGATTTTCTATTGAGAATTTACAATCAAATACATTTACTGTATTTCTTTTCTGAGGTGCAGTTCATAACTCTAACTGCTAGGTGGCAGCAGTTGTTACCACCTTCATTCTTGTGTAACAACAGGATCTTGCGATAACACTGGACGTGTCTTGTATTCAGTCTTAAAAATGCATCTATTGGCTTTTAGTGTCGCAAAAAATTGTATGCAATAACATACATTTAAATGTTAATTTAATTTCTTTACTTTTAGGTACATTTGAAAAAGCATACTTTAATACATTTACATAAGTAAAAAATGTCTGATTTAATGTCTCAGTCACGTTGGAAGGAAAGTTAAATTGGACCGGATTCAGCCGTACAGAGATGGAAAAAACTGTTGGTACCCTTCGGTCAATGAAAGAAAACCCCATGGTCACAGAAATACCTTGATTCTGACAAAAGTAATAATAAATAAAAATTCTATGAAATTTAACCAATGAAAGTAAGACATTTCTTTTCAACCATCCTTAACTCATTCACTGCCAATGATGATTAAAGTTGTCATTTGCATTTTTTTTACTGTTTGGGCATCGGAACGAGCACCGTGAGAACAAACATCCCAGCTCTAAAGCCGATCTTCATCCGTGTACGTCACACGTCACGTGGTCAGGAAGCAGAAAATCCATGTGTTAGGAGATCGTTTTGGGCCGCTGCTGTAAAAAAGTGAGGCGCGAACCGGAAAAGCTTCTGCCGATCACAATTCGACAACGGATTATGAAAGAACGGATAACGCTCGAAACGTGTGGATTTTCCTGATGTAAGAGGTGAGTCTCCACTTTGTTTTGGTTGTTTTGGCGTCGACATCATCCTAGCGTTATGGAACAGACCTGGACAAGAATGTGACCAAAGGAACATGTTAATTCAAGGTGTGTCCACTAATTAGCATTACAGGTGTCTGCAATCTTGTAATCAGTCAGTGGGCCTACACATAGGGCTCCAGGTAGTCACTGTGTTGTTTGGTGACAAGGTGTGTACCACTCTCAGCATGGACCACTGGACTAAAATGGAACATATCAAATAAATAAATAAATAAGCCACACAGTTTCAATGGCACTTTTGAATCAGTGCTAAAATTATATGTAGGACTACATTGGACAGTTTAAATCCGGTAACAACCAGACAACCTTGTGTAATCATGGGTGTAATGTAATCGGAAGGTTGCAGGTTCGATCCCGGCTCTGGACAGAGAATTCTGCTGTTGTCTCCTTGGGCTAGACACTTTACCCACCTTGCCTGCTGGTGGTGGACGGAGGGACCAGTGGACAAGTGTTCGGCAGTCTCGCTTCTGTCAGTGCGCCCCAGGGCAGCTGTGGCTACATCGTAGCTCATCATCACGAGTGTGTGAATGGGTGAATGACTGATTGTGTTGTGAAGCATCTTGGGGGATTGTAGGCGCTATACAAATGCAGGCCATTTACAATAAATTAGCAACAATAATAATCTCCCCAAAATACAAATCTCTGTTATGAGAAGTACTTCGAGAGTGTGCCGTCGGACGCGTCCTTCCCTGTCTCTGATTGCCTCCCTTTATCTCTTTTTTCTCCCCGCTTAGACACAACACCATCACTGATGCTGAAGGAGCTTGGCAGTGCTGAGGCCTCTCTGACAGTGTTACCACGGTGATGTACGGCTGTTTTTATTCCAGCTCTCATCTCAAGTGAATAATACCGCCCCAAATAAAGTGACTCATCGACATCCCTGTGTGTAACTTATCCGAGCTCAACCTTGTGATCAACTTCTGAGTCAAACTGTCTTTATATGTGTATTATACCCCCCCCCCCCCTTCCTCCAATATGCTTTTTCTACCTCTCCTGTTTACCCATACTGTGACAGAGCTGTTGTTTCAGTTATCAGCCTCTAGAGGGAGCCCACGCCTTCTCTTCAGACTCCAAAAACAAACACGATTCTTGCGCAATCCACTTTAATCTCCAGCAAAATTAATTTTCAAGACACTGTAATAAATGTGCCCTTTTGCCTGCAAGATAATGCCCACAGTTGCTGGTGGAAGCATAAATTAACTCCTAAATGAGCAGCTGATGAAAACAACCTCTGTGGAGCTTGAATTTTAGTTTTTTCTTTTCAATCCAAAAGTTAATCCGTGCTTTTTCATGATTTTGGCTCGAAGAGTTCAAAAAGTCACAAAAGTAGGTGAAAGCAGCCTCCCTTTTAAAATATTTCTATTTGAAATCTGTAACAAAAATGTTAAGAGGTACAAACAGTAACAGAAGGTGAGTTGATAACCTTTAAAAATAAATTTGAACCTAATTTAATCTAAACACATCACCAAAGTGCCCACCTTGGCTACAATAGGAGCAAACACACCGAGTCACCGGAGTTGCTGTAAACTACCACAATCTATCCCCACACTTCCTGATCTCCTTGATCGCACAGCAGCCAAGATGACAAGCGCACGCAGATGGCATAATCTGATCAGAACCGAGCGAAAATCCCCACACTAACAGACATTAGCATACTGCGCTGGTCTCCAAAGCCTCTATGCGCGTGGCAAAAAGAAGCTTTGTGAGAAACAAGAAGTGATGTGTGTAGTGAAGCCCGAGCACATTTCCATCTGCAGCCCCAGAGACGTGCTGCAAGATGAGGCGAAACAATGCTGACAGCCGAGATGTCGCACAGCCATATTTATCACCAAAGACATAACTGGTTCTTGGGTAAAGGTAAGTTTTGATTTCTTAGTGGTTGTGTTTTTCAGACTGGCCTACATTTAGATGTGGGAAAGGTGCTCTCCACACAGGAGACCCTGTGCTGGTTGCACGTGGATCGAACATAAAAACGGCTCCAGGGCGATGGCGGCCGAGGAGTAATGACTGTTAAAGCCGCCCTGTAGGGTGCACATCCTGCAGTATGCATCGTGACAAGCAGCACAAACTTTTTCCAGTGAGAGTAAAGAGTCAGGAGCACCCAGCTGATGCCTTACCATGCCGGTCTGGAACTACTAAGCTGCGACGGATGCTGCTCTAAAGGCTCACGTCTGACTGAGTGGCTTAGGCAGAGGCGTTGCCTCGGCAACAGCACATCCTGGCTCCGCTTGGTGAAAAGGTCTTACAGAAAGGGACACTGACTTCACAACATAAACAACTCCACTGCTGCTGCCTATACTGATTAGAGTGCTCATCCCACTGCAGCAACACACAAACAAGTTGTTTTGGTAGATTGTAGCTGGTTAGATTGTTTATTTACAATGCAGTGTGTTGTGTTTTAGTCACACGTTTCTAACAAATGCATCTACTTCTCCAAAACTCCATGTCAGTCCCATCTAAAAGACGTACAATAAAGAAAAGACTGCCTACTTGTCCCTTTCTTGTCCTCAATGCTAACAAGACAGAGACCCTGATCGCTGCACCCCCGGAACTTCAGCCAAAAATCGAGCAGGAATTTTCCTCTTTTTGCCCATCAGCCAAGGCCAACATTAGAAACCTGGGAGTTATTTTTGATCCAGCTTTAAGTTTAGACTCACACGTCAAAACCATCTCCCGCTCTTGTTTCTTTCAACTGAGAAACATTTCAAAAGTCCGTAAACTGGTTTCTACTGCAGATCTGGAAAAAATCATCCATGCCTTTGTGTCATCACGCTTAGACTACTGTAACGCTCTTTTTACTGGTCTCAGCAAAACCTTCCTCTCACGCCTTCAAGCCATCCAAAATGCAGCAGCCAGACTCCTAACCAAATCCAGCAGACGAGCTCACATCACTCCAGTTTTACAGTCCCTCCACTGGCTCCCGGTAGAATATAGAATACAGTTTAAAGTTTTAGTCCTGACCTATAGAGCTCTTAACAACCAGGCTCCAAGCTACCTATCTGAGCTTTTATCCCCACACATCACCTCTCGGAACCTTAGATCCACATCTGAAAACCTCCTGGCTGTTCCTCGAACCAGACTGAAAACCAAAGGGAAAAGGGCCTTTCAGACTATTGCACCCAGACTTTGGAACAGTCTGCCTTCAAATCTCCATCTTTCTAACACTGTAGAGGTCTTTAAAAATCATCTAAAAACTCACCTTTTCATCCAGGCGTTCCCTCCCTAAATGTTCCAAATGATGGCTTTGTTCGGGTTCACACCTTCACTTTGTTTTTACTACTGATTTTATTTACTATTTTATCACTGCTATTGTTTTTACGATGTTTTTATTGGTCAGAGGTATTTGCCCTGATCTTACTCAAGTTGTACAGCGCTTTGTGATTTATATCTGCGAAATGCGCTCTATAAATAAACTTTTACTTACTTACTTTACTGCCTCTACAAACACTTGAAACGTGGAAAAAAAGTCCTCGTTTGTGATGTCACAACCCTCCCAAATATCAGAGCTTCTCAGCTTACGGCAGCCTGATAGAGGTGATGGGTGGGCGTGGCCAGCTTGTTTTCCTAAAGTGACAAAGCCCTGAAACGGCTCATTCTGGAAGGTACTGAAAATGCCAAGAAGAAGACTGCTGAAATTGCCTCTTGTGAGAGGGATTTAAGCCTGAGGCACACTGCAGACAGACACGTTGCGTCGTAATGCACCGTCATTTTCAAAAGAAGCCATTATAGTTACTGAGAGTGGCTACATGGGGAGTGCAGCACCGTGTCCCAGAAGCGCCGCGCTGAGGCGTGGAAGACAGGCACCAGCTCTATTTCAAGCATTGTGGCGCAGGGGAGGCTGTTTACAACATATTGGAGTACGGTTTTACGGCACAAACCCAACCACAGTATAGATTACTTTAAAGTACCACTGATCTTAAAATATTCTAATAAGTAGCGTACGTTCATTTTTAATGAATTAAAGTCTCACAAAACACGACGGCGAGTCTGATCCTGTTCTCACGTCCTGCGTGATGTTGTGACTATTGTGCGACTTTCAAAGAAGCGTGCAGCGACGCGGCGCTTCCTGTTTGACCATTTGACTTTCCAAAACCGAGGCTTACGCATAGGAAACTTCATGAACATGTTTGGTATCGACCATAGATTATTAGAACTTAAGAAAAAAAGTAATCACATGTCTCCTTTACTTCCTTTTTCCAACACAAAGTGATTTTGCAGGAGACTTTTCTTGGTGTGCATGTCAAAATGCAATAAAGAGCATTACATAAAATGTAATTAAAAAAAAAACAAATGTTATTTTTACAAAGACCAGTGGACCGGTACCTGTAGCCGTCATCAAAAATGAAAGGAAATATAATAAATGAAAGAAAAGCAGATAGAAGCGACTGAAAACACAAACTAAACTTTTTAGAAGAAGTTTTTAAAATGAGCCTCAAGTGTCCCAATCCTGGATGTAAACAGTGAATATATTAGTAGACACTCCTTAACTACAGTATCTGTGAATTCAACAAAAGAACACATTTTTAACTTCATTGCTAACTACAGTATGCTTAAACATCCTGGAACAAGGCAGAAAAGGCCTTGAGAGAATCTTCAACCATAGAAACCTGAAAAAATATTCAATCAAAAACAACAAAGTTGAGTAAACAAAGTCATAATCACAACAGGCCTCGACTGTGAGGTGTCGAGATAAACAATTCCATACAGAAGAGAAACCTAGAAAGCCTTTTTTAATTTAATGCTTCCAAAAAGTTGCCCAACTCTGATGAAAGCCATAATGTCGGAACAATCGGACTTTGATACGTCAGATTGTTGGTTTGAAATGAACTGTGTGTTGTATTCTCTATCTCTTTTCTCTGCTTGGGAATCCTTTTAGATTGTTAGATTTGGATGTTCCAGAAAAACAGTTGTTGTTCAGACTGAGAAAAATAAAATTTGTAAGTGGTTCTTTGTTGTAATATTTCTCATTTCTGCTTCCAGCCATGTTTTAGAGACATTTTCTACAAAACAGGGAACTTCTAACTGTGGATCGTGACAAAGTGGGGAATAACTTAGCCTAGTAATCTAGACAGACATTTGCAGAAGTAAAATGATTTTGCTCTGATCAGCAGCCCAGACCAGTATTGTGAGACTGGCTTGGTGGGCGGGATGTTACTGCGACTGAGCGAAACTAAGATAGCGATGGCTAGTTTGACATGTCTTTGGCATCAACTTTGGACTATTTAGACTCAGCCTTTTCTTAGAGCAGATGGAGGTACTTAATTTCTTTATTTAGAAAAAGGATGTATTTGCGTCTTCCCCGACAGTGTGTGGAGGACTAACCCATTGACTGACACCTGTAGGGGTGAGTATGTCACGTCTTGTTGAGACTATTTGAAAGACAACCATAGACCCTGCCCCACGACTGACATCTGTCTACGGGTCGTCACGCTTTCAAAGCATTCTTTAAAAATCTACTTCCGGTTTCACTTTGTCACCAACAACCGTGCGGTACGGTGGATGGAGGTTGCCCTGAAATTCGTGTTTCTCATCTTACGTTCTTGGTAGGTGGTGAAGAGGATTCGGAAGCGGCTTCTGCGGCTGAGCTCGTCCGCCCACATACGGACGACTCCCAGAGTGGAGACCAGCATGATGTCGTTTGCCACCGTGGAGCAGAACTTGCTCTTCAGGTCTTCCACCGAACTAAAACAAGACAGTGAGATCATTTTTTTATTGAAGATAATTGGTTTAATCATAATATTTAACCCTAGAAATGCCAAAACGGGCATATTAAGTTTCCAAGATGTCTACCTCTCTTACAGGATTAGTACTTTCCAAAAACCTGCTGTAGCTACGCCAATACTTGTTCTCTGCCCTCTAGTGGAGAATCAAAAAACCTCATGTAGGGAGTGTACATTTTATTGTTCATATTTTTATTGTTAAATAATCATATTATTATTTTATAAGCTAATCAGTTTTATAAAATATTAAGACATATTTGCAAAAATGTCAATAAAGGAAGTGAAAACGTGTTTAGACACAGAAGACTTAAACATATTAACTATAATTTGTTCTAAAGCTTATAAATGAGTTTTAAATTGAAATTTAGCTTCATGTGAAGGTTTGCAGGAATCCAGAATCTTTATTTTTAATAAATATTTAGCTAATCTTTGACCATCTTTGCATTTTTTTTGCATAAATACGACACCAAATATCACCCTAAAGCTGCAGTTTATTGAAATGAGCCAATTTAACAACCATATCTAAAACAATATGCTTGTTTTAATCAAGGTCATCTCTCCAACCTTACATATCTGTGAGATGTTTTGATCAGTCCTGGACCAACACTCAGGAGGAATATCATCCCTTTCCTCTGTAAAAATTAGCTTCAGCTCTGGGATGTTTTCTCACATTGTTTCAAGTCTTTATTTATCTTAAACTACGGTCACAACTTTTACCTAGAGAGGATACTTTCTGTAATGATTCCACCTTGTTCTGCCATGCCTGTCATGTTTGTAAGCGGTGTAAATCAGCTTCACCCAGTTCACCTGAGCCCTGCCTGATTGTCTCCTTGCTTCACCTGTGGGCTCCTCCTTTTAAGCAAAGCTCAGGCTCTGTCTCCCTTCCATGGCGTTACATCGGTTGGGTGTTAAGGGTTGCGAGGTGTGTTTTGTCTGGGTTCTCACGCATGTGGGGGTGGAGGGTAACGAACGGGCGGATGCTGTGGCTAAAAGCGTACTGGGGAGGCAGGTTGTGGATTTCAGGGTGGAGTTGGGGCCTCCGGAGTGTCGCTCTGCAATTGGTCAGGTGGCTATGAGGCTGTGGCAGGCCTTCTGGGATGAGGGGACCACTGGGCAGTCCTATTTTGCTTTACAGAGATGGGTGGGTGATCGTGGGCGGGATATTTCCTGTAGGAGGCGAGACTCTGTGGTTATGACCAGGCTACAGCTAGGACATTACGGTTTGTGTGTGTGTGTGTGTGTTGGGGGATGGGGGGTGGGGGGTTCTAGTTGATAGGCACCCGAATGGTAGGTGTGAGTGTGGAGATCTGGAGACAATAGGGAACGTTCTTCTGAGGTGCAGCGGACAAGCAGTGGAGTGGCAGACTTTATTTGGGGCTTTGGGCGCATTGGGGGTGACTGTGTTCAGTCTGAGGACTTTACTGGAGGTGGTGGAGTGGCGCAAGGTGGAGCTGTTGTTGCGTTTTCTGTGAGCGGTCGGTGTCTATGACAGGATATAGCCAGGTTTGGCTGTGGGCATAATGTTGCTGTGGCAGCAATACGCCGCGAGGCCTCCAGCCTGCCTTATCCAATGAAGCAGAAGAAGATTGTCTCCCTGCCAGATTATCGACAGCCTAGTGCCAGTAGAGACTCCAGCGATAGTTTCAACCACGCCTTTTGTCTTTTGACCACATTTTTTGTCCATGGATTATGCCTTCCTTGCCCCTCACGGATTCTCTCACCCATCTGTCATCTGGACCCCGACCTTGGCTCTGAACTTTGACTACTGATCCCTGCTCAACCCCCTGATAAGTATTGCTGACTTCTGCCTGTTCGTGTATGACCTTCCCTGTACCTCACTCTGACATTGGATTTTTGGATACTTGAACTTCTATGGGCTGTACTAATTGTCTGTGTCGTTTTGAGGAGAGGAGTTGAATCCACAGATCGAAGAGGAGCTCCCATGGCAAAAATAAACAATAATGAACAAGAGTCTGCTTCTAGACCTGCAGAAAAGGGACACACAACAATACAACAGGAGCAAGCTATCACTGTGTCAGCTTGATGAAGAAATATAAAATCAACATTGTTTTACTGAACAATCACACGATAATAACTCACAGTGCATTTAGTGCCAACCACAGCCTTAAGACATGTGTTGAACGTGCCCAAGTCTATACTTATGAGAGCACCATGTGAGCACCTGTGTGTGTACACGCGCTTGCTTATGTAAGGTTTCCCTATAGGAGCGTCCAATAGACAGTGTGAGGGGCCACAGATCTGCCCCCAAATATGTGTAGGAGATGGAAGGAGCTCCAAGTCCCAGAGATCCAGGAGCTGCCCCAGAGCGCAGGAACCCCAGGGAGACTGTAACCAGAAAAGCCCCTGCCCCCCTTGAGAGGCGCAGAGGACTGCCCCGGGGGGCCACAACCAGCAGCCGGCAGAGTCTCGGGAGATATCAGCGGCAAGCCCACAGGCCCGCCCGCAGCCTCTCACTCCCTAGCCGGCCGAGCCTGGGACCCAGCGACCCGGGACCCAGGGGCGACAACCCCCGCCGGGGACCTAGCAGATCCCAGGGACTCAGATCCCACCAGGCAGCCAACGGGATTGATCAGGCAGACACCAAAAATCTTAAACCCCCTGACCCGGGAGCCACGAACATTCAGGCAGACCAAGGCACCGCACTCCACACCAGGTGTGGCAGGGGGAGGGCAGGCAAAGATGTATAGCATCAAAAGAAGAAGATTCTCCCACATTTTAAATAAACCTTCTTTAACGTTTTACTGCTGTGTTCTGGCTGAATTTCCGGGTCTGAGGTGATACCCATTACAACTTTCTAGGTATTTCATTCACAACACTAATAAAAACACTTTTTCATTCATGTTGCATCATAAAAAACACAAAGTTTAACTGTAAAGTAGCTAAAACTAGATTTTTGGGGCTGAAATAATTAAAGGAAAGACACACAAAAACTCCTACCTGCCACCGTCATACACTGCTACAAAATTGCGTTTGCATTCGTTGGAATTAGCCATCTCGTAGTCCAGAAACCGTAGGTAGATCTGTTCGATGCAAAGAGAAAAAAGGCAAAAACAGAAGTTTAGCTGCGAAGGGCAAAAAAACCTAAAGAAAATATATGAGAGAACAGATTTCTGCTGCTTCCTTTTCCAGTTTTTACTGTAAATCCCAGAGGCGGATATGGAATAGTTGTAATTAAATAGGACTAACAAATCATTATGTATGTATATAAAGTTAGGACTCAAAGCCAGAGTCTACTGGGTTTTGTTCATTATCTACATTTGAGATCAAGCATCACAGAACTTTCACTCTTGTGGAGAAAATTAATTTTCTGTCATAAATCTATGAATTGTTCAAAAGTTAACTATACTCGTGTTAATACATCTGAAGTAGTCTCTTGTAGGAATGAATGCCGTTTAAGTGGTAAACAAGCTCTGTTGCGCCTGTTTCAGGAAGTGAGTCAGCCGGAGGAGAAAGTAGCTTCGGACTCTTATCTGACGCCTCAACGTGACACTACCTCGGACTCAGTTTGCTCTGCAACGTTGATGTTTTATCTCCACAAATAACACAAATCTGAGGACTTTTGCTGTGTGGTAGAGCTGCTTGCTAATGCTAACTGTTAGCTTCGACTAGGCCGAGAGGTTCTCTGCCGTTTCCTGGATGCTAATCCAACAACAGCCTTCCCCGTCACGAGCCAAGATGGGTGACTCTCTGAATGTTCAGTAACAGTGTCGTAGAGCTGTCAGGATTTTCAAATAGTTTCCATTTTCTCTCAGAGGCTAACGCAGGAGATGTAGGAAATTATTTTCATGTTCAGCCTGCATAAAAAACTCAGAGTGACCGATCATTTTCAAAAATAATAAGTAAAAAATTATTTCTCAGTGAATCTGCTCTTTAGGTTTTTGATGAATGAGTAGATCTCATTGCGCATTCATACTCCTCACATTAGCTTCGATTGCTTCTGCCTGTCCATCACTCATCAGATCACAGCTCTGGTTCTGGTCCGCCACGTGCAGCTCTCGCCATCCTTTTGGCTAACGAGTGAACGGCTTCCTGATTGTGACTCTTTCACCCGGAAATAAAGCAGAATGATGGGCAAACTTGGCTCTGACAACATGACAAATGAATCGGATCGCAGCACGAGCTAACTGCCTCCCCTCAGGTCCCAAACTAAGTTCAACAAGCTAGAGGCCCTGCCAAAAAGCTACCTTACTTAAGATTTATTATAAGCATAGAAAATAACCTGCAGAAGTATCAGTTAGTATATTAATTAAGACACTTGGCCCAGTTATTCCACTGATGAGCAGTGAACAAATTAGCCAGCGTTTTTCACCCACAGCACTAAGAATCCACTGAGTGCATCGTCTGTAACCAGTTAAAAAGTTATTACAAGCAGGGGAGACAGATTTTCTTAATTAATGCCAAGTTTTTTGTTATTTTTCACTGACTTTGAAAAGCGTTTGTGATTCAAACAACGAAAACACAGAAAACAAGCGCATTCTGAATGGTTTTACAATTGGATGGAGAACAATAATGATGCAGATGGTGATGGATTGTGTTCAGCTTTGCTTTCAAAGGCTAATGTCATCAGGTTGTCTTAATGAAGCCTGAACAGAGTCACCTATCAGCAAAAGAGGGTCGTGTCTGTAGGGTAGATCGTTAGAAATCAACAAAAAAGGCTTTAATTCATGATCACACCCTAAAAGACAAGATGATTTAGATTTACAACCATACAGTTTTAATGAAATCTTCTTTGGCTGTTCATCAACAACCCATTCACTTTTGGATTAGAGCACTAAAAGATTGGCCTAATTATAAATTATCATTAGATATTATTATGTAAAGATGTTCTGTCCTCGGAGTGAAGGGAAGTAGATTAGAAACGTAGACAAACAGTAGCAAAAGATTTTGCTCTGTAGGTTGATCTAACCACACTCCATTGTACCCTCAGCCCTGATGAATTAATCTGGGCCTTCTTTACCGTTTTGAGTCCAGTTGGTCTAAATGGTTATGACATCATTGTGACTCAAGGTGGTTTTACTGTGATAAGAACCTAACCAGTGTTTGATAAACTCATTTGTTTTCTGCTAAAAATCAAGATAACACCATAAAATGACACAAAATGTGCAGTTTAGTAATATTTAATGTGCATCTAAGCAGAATCGTTACTTGCATGATGCAAAGCTACTCACGTTTAGACACTTTCTTCACGCATAACTGGAATCCTTGGTATTTATCTGGACACTCTTGCTACAGTTCATCCTCAGAAGGATGAAAGAGATTATTTATGTGATTGTTTACATGGCTTTGTGATTTTCACCCACAACCATTTTTAGCATTCCCAGAGGACGGTCTGAAAAAGTGAAACAATGAAAGAAAATGTTTTGCCGGTGTTAGAAAACACAGAAATGTTGGTAATCTTTAACTTACACTCTACATTTCCCCTGAGTTTCTTCTCCTGTCTCTACAGCAAAATGAATCATTTACGAGAGCCTAGAACATTGGCCAATAGAGTTGCGTATTAATAGGAGGGAATATGCCCCAGTTCCCAGCATGCACTGCGGGTGAAGCACAGTTAGCTTAGCACACCAACCTAGCTTGAAGGATAACACAACCTGCATTGAATTAATGTCAGTCTGTAAACTTCAAGCTGACTGTGGAAGAGAAGGAAGAGGAACGAAAAGGGATTTATCTTGTGTGCATGGGAGCTAAGTGATTAGCGTAGCATTCAACCTTATGCTACACCAGAATGTTTTCTCCTGTTAGCAGGGATGTGTTAGCATGTGCCAGATTATGGTGTGTCCGAATCGTCCGAATCCACGGGTAGTATGCTTATGAGTACGGGTCCTTGCCGGTCTAGCAAGGCCGGGCCCTTGCTAGACCGCTAAGACCAGAACCCAGCGGCTCTGAATTCGGGCAGTCTAGCCTTCACCTCTACGGTGGCCCATAGGTCCCGTCACAGCCGTGGCGGCAGCTACACGCAAAGGAAAAATGCTAAAGCTAGCGAAAATTGAGCAGGAATATTAAGGAGCTAGAGCAGCTTCACGTCCATCAGCAGCGTTTGTTCACAACCGTTTTCAGGTAAAGTAACTTTGTTTATTCTAGAAGCTTTCAGGACTTACATGATAACTTTATGGTTTCATGTATGTTTTAAGCTACAGAATGAACTTGTTAAACACACAACACATTACTACAGAGTATTAACGTGTAGGTAATTAATATAAACCAAGTGCATTATAAATGTTGAATGCAGTAGGACGTTTTCTAATGTTAATTGGACCTTAGAATTTCTTATTTTGCATCAAATGGGGGTAAAATGCTTTAAAAAACAGGCTTTTTAATAAAATAGCATTGAAGTGTTTTCAATAAGCATTTGTTTATTCAAGTTAAGCCTAATAATGATTAGATATGTCTTAAAAATGTAAATTCTCTGTAGTTTTTATTTAAATATTCCCTGCTGCTTTTCTTTAAACTGAACAGAATCAGTGTACTGCAGGTTATTGGTTTGTTTTACATTTTTCTATAAAAACCTCTTTTTAATCTATTACAGGTCAGCATGCACTGTGCTGCACATCTGCCTCTGTGCTGGTGAAGTTGTGGGTCTGGAGGATGAGTCTGAGGAAGATGTGTGTGGAGGTCAGCGGTGCTCCGTCCTGCAGGAGGGACCAGCAAACCACCACTAATGTTAACAGACAAGTCATTTATGTAGGAACCTCTATTAAAAACAAAACTGTGGTTTTATTTGCTGAAGAGTCACAATTGTTATACCAGTGGATCCATAAACCATCTCCTCATTTCATATTTCTGAATACATCTTAGAGATGTAACAGCCGTCGTCTGAGCCAGCCCAGCAGTCCCTGTAGATGGACGATGGACTGGACAGTGAGAGGAAGCGTCCCAAAGCTCTCTCTGCAGACCGTCCTGTATGATGTTCCTCTGACCAGAAACGTCCAGCCACGGGTCTGCTCCAGCCCTCCATCCACGTCTGGATCCTCCTGCAGCAGATCCAGCTGCACTGTTAAAGACTTCCTGCTCACTCAGTTTAAATAAATGATCCAGGAAGAGTCAGTCAGGCTAATCCTGCTTTAACCGTACATAACTGGTCCATACTGGTTTTGATCTGTAAATAAGTGTAACGTATTATAAATAATCTTGTCTCCTTACCATCTTTTCATTTTCTGTCCATGTAACATGTTTAGAAACATCTGTAATAATAAAACTGGTGATAAAATCAATGACCAGAAAGAGTTATCAGTTAGTATTTGTTTTAATAAACGTGTTCAAATATCAAACAGCTAAATAACATTAACATGATGACAGTAGAAGGCCTCTCTCCCAGGAGGACCACCAGGTAAAGCCTCTCCTGACCCTGGACACCTGCAGTCCTACAGAGAAAATCAGAGACCACGGGTGACAAAAAGGCAATAAACACATTTTTACATTTATCCACATGAGAAGATAAAAATTATATTCTTCACACAAACAATTTTTACTTCATTAAAACGTGTCAGCTGTGTAAACCCCTGAATGTAAACCTGCTTTTCACAGAGGAACTACTGTGGTTGTGTGTGTAAACAGCTTCACTCTTCACCTCTAAGCTTAATAAAAACGCTTCTTTGCTCCGTTGTCCTTAAAACAAATGACAAGTTTAATTCGCTACACACACACACACACACACACACACACACACACACACACACACACACACACACACACACACACACACACACACACACACACACACACACACACACACACACACACACACACACACACACACACAGGACCCATGATACAAACTCATTCTGGCTGATTTCTGCCTAAAATGTAATTAAAAAAACAATTATACAAACAAATGTCTATAAACTGAACCGCTTTAAGCTTTTTAGGTTTCTACGGCTAGTTTTTAACAAACTTACGTTTAAAACTTCGTAGCTCTCCCCATTTTCTCTTCTTGTTGAAAATCCACAGCCGGCGCGCAAAGCATGCTGGGATAGCCTTGTTCTGTGAGGATACAACAGACCCGTCCTCGAAATGTAGGGGGAGCGAGGACACATTTGAGGACGAGAGAATGAGTATTCTTGGAATTCGGACAGTACTCGTCGCTGCGCTGTGACATCATCGACCTCAAAATGCGCTCTTACAAGCATCCTTCCCGTGGATTCGGACACACCCCCTGTCCTGTGGGCGACGACGGCACAGGAGTTAAGTGCTCGCCTTGTAATCGGATGGTTGCAGGTCGTTGTGTCCTTGGGCAAGACACTACACCCATGTTGCCTGCTGGTGGTGGTCAGAGGGACCTGGGGCACCTGTGATCAGTAACCTCGCCTCTGTCAGTGCGCCCCAGGGCAGCTTTGGCTACATCGTAGCTCATCACCACCAGTGTGTGAATGTGTGTGTGAATGGGTGAATCACTCATTGTTTTGTAAAGCACCTTGAGGGGTTCCAGGACTGTAGATGGCGCTATATCAAATACAGGCCATTTACCATTCCTGTCGGTTTACCCGAACATGATGATGGCTACAATCAGGTGTGTCTGAGCAGGAACATATAAAAAATTTTTTTTTGTACATTACCGCTACAAGGATATTTGTGTGAGTGTGCACTGTATTAGGGGCGTGGCTTCAGCTCCTTCCAGAAGCTGTAGCTGTCCTCTCCTCCTCCTCTACTTAATGACCTCATGCTGCAAACCTAACACTCACAAAAACGTCAAGATCAAATAAATCCGATGGACATTCAACAGAAATCAGGTCTAGTGAACTCATAAATAAACCTTTCAATACAAATGAGTGGAGCTGTGTTGAGAAATAAAAGGGTGCGGGTTTTATATAAGAAATAAAAATAAAAACCTCTGCTGGGCAAGGTGGTGGATCAATAACGCTCCAGGCAACGGTACAGAGAGCAGTTTACTGGTTGAAAAATCCTGTAAGCTAACCTGCAACCATCTGTAAAAAATCTGAAGAGTGGGAATAAATATGTGATTCTCGTATCAACTCAAAATTCTCAATCCTCTGCACAAGCTGAAGGCTTTGCCATATTCCTACAATCTCCTGACTTAGACATCAAAGAAAATCTGTGAAAAAAAAACCGTGAACACAAAATCACCAAAGCATCTTAGAGGACAAAAACCTCCGGGGAACAAAAATCATCCTAAAAAAGTTTTTGCTATAAATGATCATTTATTTCCTCATCTTTGACATTTTTCACACATCTGATTTAAAATATATGATCATTTTATTACCCTTTGGGCTGATATTTTTATACTTATTAAATTTTTTGTCCATCTGTGAGCCTCCTGCTCAGATTAGGGATGAAAAATTTCCCTTTTTTACCGGTTTCATCGTCTGCGGTGTCGTTAAAATCATTGCCTTCTGTAAGCTGCTGTTGTTTACAGACTGGAGGCTGAACAGAAGGACCTAATTATGTGACAGAAGCAAGAGACAAACATCAAAATAAGAGCTTCTGATGCACGGAGCCCCAACAGCAGGGAACAATCAGAGCCCAACGTGGCACAAAAAAAAGAGGAGATAATGTTTAGGTGAGATATTAGCTTCGATGGCGCTCAATAATGAAGAGGAATCATCACTGACCGGATAAGAGAGCTCCCTCTGCGGCTGAAAGGGTCTGCTGCGGCTCATTACTGGCCGTATATTGACAGTGACGTCACAAAAATGCACAACAGGTGTTAAAAAGTGCAAATGGTTAAAAAACTGTCAGGTACATTTGGACGAACGTCCAGTCAACGATATAAAAGAGGAAAGTCACAGAAGAAAAGCACAGATGTGTTTGAAATGTGACATTTGGTTTCACTGCCTCGCTGCTGATTAAATCTTCTTTAATGTCACATTAGATACCAGTAAAATCTTATTTATTCTGCTGATCCCCCCCCCCACCCCCACCCCCTCAGAGTGTTCTCCACCAAGTCCTTTTTACAGGAGAAGCTGCCGTTAAAAATGACGTGTTGGTGTAAAGTTATAGCGCCGTCATTAAAAGTGCTGCATTGTGGCAACAACACATGGCCATTACTGCTTTTTCCTGCAGGTACATCTCACCACCTCTCTGTCTGTGCCATCTGCAGTCTCACCCTTAATCTCAATCCTTCATATGTTCAGACCCGGGATAAAATGCATTATCGAGCATCTTTTTCCACTTTTCCCCTCCCGACTTGCTCCTCCAAACCTCGTGTTTTTTACTTTTCCCCCTGCCTTTTCTCTGGAGTCCTCGGTGCAGTCTAATTAGAGCCTCCGGTGTAGGATGTCATTATCTCTCTCCTTTTTTCTGGCACACAGGGTACAGTGCAGCACTTTATCTGCATGGAGGAGTAAACGCCACGTCCAGTTTACAACACATGTATGCAGAGCTGGAGGAGGGGGTGGACTGGTGGTGCTGGTAACACTCTCTGCATCTCCTTTGCTGCATTAAGGTTTGTGTGCTTGACAGAGAAATAAGAAATCCATGTCTATGTTTATGTGAAGACTGAATAAAAGGTTTTGTTTGTCTTCTTGCCCATTAGTACCAGTGAATGTCAGCTTTTAGCCCCTAATTTGCCCTGCAAGGGCCTTCCACGGGGCGGGGGGAGTTGAAACTCATCCAAATTTTGTCGGATTGTTATGAACAAACCCTCCCCAAGTGACTCATGCAGAAATTGGTACTCCAATTTGGCCTCCAATATGCTGATAAAAAGCTGCACTTGACCAGAACAGAGGAATCAATGCTGCTTCTTCAGGGAGGCCAGCATCTCCTCTGATCCCCGTTCCACCTTAGCACTTATCGTATGGCTCAGAATGCTGATGACTCGGACAAAAGTAGTTCCTGTGGCCTTGACTTTTAAAGCAGCTGAATCAGAAGGACATTTGCGAAGGAAACAAAGGCGTTAGCTGGAAAAATGCAACCCAAAGAGTACGCCAGATAAGAACAGCTGCCGTGGCCATGAATCACGGAACCATTGTTATCAGCCAGCTGTGTTATAGGCCAGTGTGTGTGTGTGTGTGCGTGCTCCACAGGACGACGGTTGATGTAAAAAAAGCAGGAAGTGCCTTTGTTATTTTGAATGTACTTGTGAGAAATAAAAATACACCTTTATGTATGAATGTATATTTTCACTGATATATATGAATTAACATCGAGCATCCCTAGTAATGACCAAATATCATCTTAAAGCAACACTTTCTAAAACTATTGATTTTAAATTGGTTTCAGCAATTCTCGAGGCAGAAACTTAAGCAATTTCACATTGGACAGCACTCTGCTGACCTGAAACCACACTTAACAGTTTTATGGATCAGGTAGGAACACTAGCTGTTTAATGTGCCAGTGGCTAATATGAAGGCTAGCATTTAGCTTTTCAGTTCACCCACCTTCAATAAAACGCACAAGTTCTCTTTTTTGTTGGCATCATGGCAGAGCCTGGAAGTAAAAGTAAGAAAGTAATGTCTTTTGAAGGGACGCAAAGAGTTAAAACCAGAGTGAACATTGCTGCGGCCTACCCTCGTTTAAGAAAGGTGAAGGACGGTACGAAATCATGGACTGACTGTGACCTGGCTTTGTTGTTACTGGACTTTTTTATGTTCAACAGTGTGGATCTTTTTATTTTGTGACTTGTTTAGTATCAGTTGGCTCATGTTAGCTTCAGCTCATTGTAAGAGCAACAGCAGGCTACAGCAGGAATGTTTATGACAGTAAGAGGGAAAAGTGGGAAACCTTTTTAATGTTGCTTTAAAAACACCCTGGGTTACTTCACCTCACTCTCCTGCTGCCCACAAACCAGCAAAACAGTAACAATCTGCACAAAAACTGAGTCTGAAACTTTTCATCAGCCTCCAAGACTCTCCAGACACAAAACAAAGGGGACCTGAAGGCCTATGTGACACATAAGCAGGACCTCACACTCATCCTAAAAGTCATTTGGTCCTATTGCCATGGTTGATCAGCTTAGAGGTTGCAGCATTTGCATGATGTGTGCTTCCTGCTTCTGGCTCATGAAACTTTTAATCTGGTAGCATTAATGCAGCACAAGTACCTCTCACAGATAAGGAAGCATGCAGAGTATATGAGCGGTTGCAGTAAAGTTTTGTGTGCACATCTGTATTTGTGTACGGATGCAGGGCTGCACACTAACAGAGAACACAAAAGCAGGGTGTTTGAAGCGTTGAGGTCAAACTGCATGAACAGTTTCATCTCCTTTTTCCTTGGCGACACAACGATGATTTTAAAAATGAGCCGTACTCCCCTCAAGAAAACCCTTCTGGCTGGCTGTCTGACCAAAGAGGAACATGTCCTCCCTGCAGCTACAAAAATTCACAGCAGGATAATGGTGACAAAAATTCCCGCTGCGCCAAAACCATCTGAAGCAACACAAGACACTGCTGCAGGATTGGCAGGACACTGCAAAGAAAAAAGCTAATTATAAGAAATTTAACATTGCATGATGTCACTAACCTTGGATCTTGGCGGAGCTCGGATGTACCATTTACAGTCAACGGCTTCAGCGGCGCCAGCCTTCCCGTCTCTGGTGATCTGATGAGACTCAACGATACCTTCAGGGCCAACCATGTCGTACTGACAGGCTGCAACACACATGCATAAACACACACAATCACATGTAAATATGTACACATCTACACACATGTGCAAACCACACCAACAAGCGTGACGTGCAAACATTGGAAAAGCAGTGTACACAGAGACATTGTGTGCCTTAGTGAGGGAAAATAGGAGCACGGATTAAAAGAAATATAAAAAACACGAGTGAGATAAAAGGAGAAAAACAGGAGCAACAACAGAGATTGAGGGAGTATACCTACAGGGCAGAGGTGGGGGTACTCCCAAGTCTGCAAAGTCTGGATCTGAGGAGAGAACAGAAGAAGTGCAGGTGGGAGAGCAGGGGCATTCATTTTTAATGTCAGACTTAAAAAAAACAAGACTAAACTTCACAGAACAAAAGGTGTAACAATGCACTAAAGAACTTTCTCTAAAGATTGCACATGTCTAACATAAGTACTAAATCACTTTTAGCATCCATAACTGCCTGCTAAAATGTGTTTGTAGGAATATTTGCATCAAAGGCTTGTTTGTATCTGAGAGCAGGATTCCTGGTTTTCATGTTGGGTCTTACTGCCCCCCCCTTTGGTGCAGATATGCTTTGTTTCACTTCCAACCTGCTCCTGCAGTCAGATTTATCCGTACTCACCCTGCTCTTAAGTTTGAGCTGTTGTACTTGTTGTTGAGTTCCTGGGGTGCGTTCAAGAAAACATCTACTTTACAGGCAACAGATTATCACTTAGCACAATGGGAAACCCAGACCAGTAATGTACAGTGGGGCAAAAAAGTATTTAGTCAGCCACCGATTGTGCAAGTTCTCCCACTTAAAATGATGACAGAGGTCAGTAATTTTCATTATAGGTACACTTCAATTGTGAGAGACAGATTGTGAAAAAAAAATCCATGAAGTCACATGGCAGGATTTTAAAAGAATTTATTTGTAAATCAGGGTGGAAAATAAGTATTTGATCACTTCAAACAAGGAAAATCTCTGGCTCTCACAGACCTGTAACGTCTTCTTTAAGAAGCTTTTCTGTCCTCCACTCGTTACCTGTATTAATGGCACCTGTTTGAACTCATTATCTGTATAAAAGACACCTGTCCACAGCCTCAAACATTCAGACTCCATACTCCACTATGGCCAAGACCAAAGAACTTTCGAAGGACACCAGGAAAAGAATTGTAGACCTGCACCAGACTGGGAAGAGTGAATCTACAATAGGCAAGCAGCTTGGTGTGAAAAAATCAACTGTGGGAGCAATTATCAGAAAATGGAAGACATACAAGACCACTGATAATCTCCCTCGATCTGGGGCTCCACGCAAGATCTCATCCCGTGGGGTCAAAATGATCATGAGAACGGTGAGCAAGAATCCCAGAATCACACGGGGGGACCTGGTGAATGACCTGCAGAGAGCTGGGGCCACAGTAACAAAGGTCACCATCAGTAACACACTACAACAGCAGGGAGTCAAATCCTGCAGTGCCAGACGTGTTCCGCTGCTGAATCCAGTGCATGTCCAGGCCCGTCTGAAGTTTGCCAGAGAGCACATGGATGATACAGCAGAGGATTGGGAGAATGTCACGTGGTCAGATGAAACCAAAGTAGAACTTTTTGGTATAAACTCAACTCGTCGTGTTTGGAGGAAGAAGAATACTGAGTTGCATCCCAAGAACACCATACCTACTGTGAAGCATGGGGGCGGGAACATCATGCTTTGGGGCTGTTTTTCTGCTAAGGGGACAGGACGACTGATCCGTGTTAAGGACAAAATGAATGGGGCCATGTATCGTGAGATTCTGAGCCAAAACCTCCTTCCATCAGTGAGAGCTTTGAAGATGAAACGTGGCTGAGTCTTCCAACACGACAATGATCCCAAACACACCGCCCGGGCAACAAAGGAGTGGCTCCGTAAGAAACATTTGAAAGTCCTGGAGTGGCCTAGCCAGTCTCCAGACCTCAACCCCATAGAAAATCTGTGGAGGGAGTTGAAAGTCTGTGTTGCTCGGCGATAGCCCCAAAACATCACTGCTCTCGAGAAGATCTGCATGGAGGAATGGGCCAAAATACCAGCTACTGTGTGTGCAAACCTGGTAAAGACCTATAGTAATCGTTTGACCTCTGTTATTGCCAACAAAGGTTATGTTACAAAGTATTGAGTTGAATTTTTGTTATTGACCAAATACTTATTTTCCACCCTGATTTAAAAATAAATTCTTTAAAAATCCTGCCATGTGAATTCATGGATTTTTTTTTTCACATTCTGTCTATCACAGTTGAAGTGTACCTGTGATGGAAATTACTGACCTCTGTCATCATTTTAAGTGGGAGAACTTGCACAATCGGTGGCTGACTAAATACTTTTTTGCCCCACTGTATATACGCTGCAGTTAAGTCTACCCTCGAGGGTTATAATTTCTTTGAAGACCAAGTTCACTTTTCTTTTCAACACATTTGCAGTGATCTCTAGTATAAATGAATGACTTCTGGTTGATTGCTGTGGGGGGAAAAGCTCTGGTGCTCCTGTTTCAGGACGTAGAAGTTAGCAGGAGCTGAGGGGAGCAGAAGACGGCAGGATTTAGAGTCTGATTTCCTGATATTTGGACATCCGATTAGTTAGCAGCAACGCAACTCTGCAACGCTGATGTTTGATCTACAAAAATAACACTAGCCTGGAGGAGTTCTGCCATGTTGTGGAGTTGCTAATGCTAATGTTAGCTTCTACTAGCTAAAGCTGGGCGGACACTGTGTGACTTTTTCACTCGTAGCGCTCAGCTTCAGCTCAAACTGTACGACTTCCTCGCAGGGCAGATCTCACGAGTCATGCGCTCACACTGTACGACCCAGTTCTCGCATGCGACCTGACTGCTCACACTGTACGTCTGGTAGCAACACGTCGGCCCTAAAAATATGCTAAAAATAGCAATTTTTACTCAACACGTCAGACTTTTTTCTCTAGTTTTGCCTGTTGTCCTTCGGGAGTGCTGCAGGAGGACACACAGGGATTTATGGGGTTGGATGAGGAAAACGAAATAAAGAAAGTAAATCTGTGTTTTGTGATCAGTTTAATTTGACATGAACACGACAAACACGCTTTCTCGACAATCCTTGTGAGTAAAAAAACGTGTAGAAATAAACATGAACAACGTGTGTTATTAGGGAAATAGCGGGCGAGCGGTGTTGATGCAGGATTGCGCATGCGCCGTGAGCGGTTCTGATACTTTGTGTCGCAGCTGCTCGCAGCGCTGCTTCAACAGTGCGATACCCTCATGAGGGACGAGCAAAATATCAAACACGCCAGAAGTCCATGCGAGCTCACGATTGCTGATCACGTACACTACACGACGCTCGGCGCAAAACTCGCCCCGATCTCGTGGATTTTCGCACGAGTGGAAAATCGGCTCAAAAAAGTGAAAAAGTCGCACAGTGTACGCCTGGCTTAAGACGTGCTCTACTCTCTCCTGGACGCCAAATCAAATGTAAGGATAAATGACCCCCACTTGTGTAGCGCCTTTCAGAGTCAATGGACTTCAAAGCGCTTTGCACTACAGTGTATCATTCATCCATTCACACACACTTCCGCACACAAATCAACAACAGCCTTCCTTGTCGTGACCCAAGATGGGTGAGCCAATAAATATACATTTGCAACGCGACGTGGAATTGACTGGCTTTTCTAATCTGAGCGTTTCGCTGTCTTTTTTCACCATCAAATACATTATTTCTGTGTTTGAAATGACCCACCAGGTGAGTGCAATATTTTCTTCTTTCTTTTCCTTTTTTTCTCCCTGCAATATTTTTCACTGCTGCACCCAGAGATGAAAGTGTATTATTTAGCAGCTGTAAACTCTCACATCTAAACTTTCAGTATTGCTGCTCTATCAAAGGTAATCAGTTATCAGATATGGTGGGTGACAACAGGCTGTGGGGTTACTAGTGACTTCCATTTTAGCTTGAAGTTTTCAGGGGATGAGAGCGTTGAAGAGTCTACTTTTGTCAGTGAGAAAGAAATCCACACTAGAAGGCTTCTTTTATCTTTTGGAAAGTTTGTGTATATACTAATGGTGGCCATTGCACCCCCCAGCAACCCCATGGTGATGCCACTGGCCATTAAGAATGCTTTGGTTGAAATATGGTTGAAATAATGTTTTTTCCAATTAATTATGAGATTTTATCCATCAAAATCATGGCTGTTTTACACAATTTGGTGTCATTAATATATATTAAAAACTCCAAATAGACAATATCTTGACTTTAAAGTAGCTGTAAATAGCTCAGAGATAGCTGAGTCGTATCGGTGGTACGCTAAGCCTCCAAGTCATCCTGGGAGGCTTAAGACTGAAAATATTCTGAAGGTGTTACAGGGTCAATGCCAGGTCAGTGTTTACTTTCAGTTCAGTTTAAACATAAAACAGGAATAACAATTAGTGGGACGGCCTGTAAAATCTCAGCTGAGCTCAACGCATTGCTTGAGTGTCTAATCAAAATGCACGAATGTCTTTCTATTTGTAGAAAATACTCTAAAATCTCTCCTTGTGAGCAGCTTTCACTCTTTATTGCTGCTCTATGACCTTTTCCAAGGGCACAGATTCAGCTCCATTTCACCACATTTTCTTCTCACAGCCTGGATGTTTTTATTTGGACACCGACAAAATTGTGTGACGATCCAAATGGCTCTGATGGTGCCTTTAAAGCATTTTGAATGAGAGGTGATAAAAAAATGTTAAAGGACCAATTGACGAAGTCCAGTTATCGTCTATAGAAGAACTTGGAATTCAGGATCTAGATAAATGAGAATCTGCTCTTTTTAAGGCGTTGAGACTTTGTTTTTGTTGCTGTGTTTGTTCAGATTTAGTCAAACATTCAGCCTTAAAAACCTTATATATTTACTTGAACCTTACTTTATGAGCCTTTTCTTTCTTGACCACAATTTTTCTTTTTCTAATGTATTGAAAACTTCAGAAGTGAGAGAAGCCAAGTTATTTTGTACAAATAATCAAAAATATTCCAAATAAAACTGTTCTATTAATAACTGATTTGCTCTTTAATGGCCTAAAATGAAATTCTTACACAACAAGAGACCTCTACAAGCTCTTCCACTTTGGGTTCAACCCAAGATTAGTTAGGTTAGTTCACCGTCGAATTATTTTCCACCCATTCTTTCCTTCATTGGCTTCCATTGGTTTGGGTCAAAATATTTCAGAATTATCTTTTATCTGAGTTTGCTTGAACCGGGACAGTTTTTAGATATCTGGCTTGATGGACAGCATAGCACGTTAGGAGTTCTGGGAAATTTCTAGGAGG